CTTTAGTATTCATAATTTTAAAGTTTAAATGACGTAAATTTAACAATTTCTTATCATCATCATGTTAAACAAGACATTTTATTGTTTTCAAAATTTCTACAGAAATAATTACAAAAATTTTGCGAATGATAAATATTTACTCGAGGAGTTAAAGTGTGTTGCTTTAAATCGTATACAAATAGATAAAATATTAAAAAACCGAAATAATTTGTGGATTTTTTCATTTAACACTTACCAAACCATGTTATATAATAGCGTCTGCAATGAAAACCAATTTTTAAATATTATGAAATTAATTTGAAATTCTATCTAGAGAAGCTTAAACGTTTGTATCTTTAATGATTTTGTTCTTCTGTTTTTTCGGTAACCACTTTTTTTAAACTGAAAAATAATCTTTTGTCTAAACCATAACCTTTGTCAATTTACAAATCGATTTTTATTTTGTAACCTTTATATTGTCATCTTCTTTGTATTTTCTTGTTATTTTTTTTTTCTTTTTTAAAAAATAATAAGATAAAATTGTGTGTTTTTTTTTAATTTTTCTTTGTTTGATTCTTTGCGCCGATCTATTGATTGGAAATATAGACAATAGAGTATCATTTTTCAACGTAACGTTTGTTGAATTTTTTTTTTTTTTTTTTTTTTTTTTTGAAAAATATCAAACAAGTTCTTTAAATCCAAGGTCAATTATTAAATATTCTTAAATATAACCATAATTAATCTTGTTTATTGTTTAAGAATTGGTTATTTTTCATAACTGTTTAAATGTAAATTTTTTGGAAAAAATAAAATATTTATATATAGTTTGGTACCTTTATAAATTTTTAAATGATTAATTCTTGAAAAATATTTTATATTGAATTTAATGATTAATTCAGTAGAAATATTACTTCCTTTTGTTTGGTCCTATGGTACTTTCAACAGACATATCATAGAATCTTAAAAGATTCGTCTTCTTGCGAATTTCGGATGAACTGGCTCCCGCCTGCAGAGGATAAATGTCGAAATGCTTTACGCGAACACCTGTTGTGTTAGCCTTATTTCACGGTGTTCTTTTTCATCCACAGGGTGAGCTTTTGTGACGACTCTCCAACGCTCCTTTGTGTATATTACACGCGGGTGGCAATTTTTGTACATGTTGGTCCATGTTCAAGCACTTTGCTCAAGTACTCGAGCTATCCAATCCCTGATCATTGCTTAACTTCCGAGATGTAAAAACATCACTTCCGTGTACAATCACGCAGATGGGATGGCCTCTATTGAGTCGACAACAGCACCTAACGACGTATTCAAATAAACCGAGGACTTTGTTCTTACTCTTAGAGAACACACTGTGGTAAATCTGGTATGAACAGAGTTTTCCCAGAACATACCTGGTCAAGGAAGGAAAATGCAATGGTATCAATTGTATAAGATTCCTTTCATCCATTACCTTTCAACCTAGCACACTTCTCATTCATACGACACACACATAGACAACAACATCCGACAAACTCACTCTAGGTATACGGGCGGTTGAAGACCCCTACACTCATCCTGAATCATATACACACATATAACAGCAACTAATTTCCAACGCTTAGTCCCACAGGCACTCAACCAACCAACCAACAGAAACCTCAACCAACTGACCAGCCAGCACAAAGTCCTGCGAGCAACTGGCCATCCGTAGTACCGTAATATGTGGTTCTCCGGTTCGACCCCATGTCAAATCATTCCAAAGAAAGGCCAAGGATACATTTGAACATCACCAGTTTATATTCCCGGCAGACTAGAGGCACTGGTAGCACCTCTTTACTCCAAGATTGCAATACATCAAGATGGGGTCATTCATCAAGAAAACATGCCCCGGGAGGCCTGCAGGTGATTAGTCGGTATCCCACTTTCATCCATCACGAACTCTACAGATCTGCTCATTCATTCATTCGTACCTCTGGTTGCATCAATTCTGGTTGAGGTATGAACCTATATAGGATAACACAACGACACTAGTACATGGACCCAAAATGAGACGGTCTTTTACAAAGGAATGACAAATTTATTGAATGTCTCAAGAATGGCAGAAATAAACGTTTTTGTTTCGGTTCTTCTAAAAAAGTGTGTAGATATTTTAATTGAGAGACTTTTGAATATTTCTCAAAATTAAAGAGAAACGTAACAATTCAGCTATGAATATGCAGTTGCATAATTTTTATTTGCTGTAAATTCTGAAAAATTTAATTGTTTTATATCCTTTTATTTTAAAATGTCCCTCATAAATGTTTTGACTTTAAATACATATTCACATGTTAATAAAAACAATGTAAATATTTTAAAAGTTAAGTCACATTAATACATTGTCATATAAATTATGTTAAAACGTCAATTTTATTACTCATATTATTTATCTCCGAGTTTTTAAAACCAAAATCTGCAAAGCGTATTGCAACAGGCATTGAACAACAAAATGTTGAAAGCACTATGTGTCATTTCTTGTAAAGAAAAAAAAACTAGTAAAAACCCACCAAATTCATTGGAAACGCAGCATAACCAACATCATCATTACAAATAATACGCATATCTATGAAACGCAGCAAATAAAAAAATGCCGCATAAAGCAAATGCAACTGTCATGCTTAAAAAAAGTAAAATATAAAATAAAATAAATAAATTTTAAAATACTGGACATAACAAATAATAAGTAAAAAACATAACATGCGAAACATTAAATCCACACTTTCACTTTTACTACATGTTCACTCTTCTCATCGTTCGCAGTCACAAACAAAAAAGCAGATTTCATTCAGGCCAATGGACACAGTGTCAATTTATTTTTAAACGTATTTTATACAATTTGAACAAAAATACAAGTAAATAAATTAATTAACATTGCAGACGACAGCTAGCCAGCGAAGTCAAGCCAATCAGCCAACATTAAACCCTCCTGGTAAAGGTAAAACCAGTAATTTAAATATTACATCATCGCCATAGTACAACAATTACACTGTTATTAATGCAAGTGATGATACCACTTACTCGTACACAAATTCATACTCTTACATATGAATCACGAATTTTATTTAACATTAACCTTTTAATGCCATCGATTATTATCGCATTAGGGTGATCGATTATTCGACATTTTCCAAAAACCGGGTTTCGAATAGTTCGAATAGTTGACATTTAAAAAAAACCGGTTGATATTTTTCAAATTCAGAAAAAACCGGTTAACCGGTTTTTCATTACAATTAAAAAAAATATATTTTAATTTGAAAACTTAATGTTTATGTTTAAATTTGATTAATAAAACATGGCCCGAAATGATTTTTAACAGTTTAAAAGATTATAACTTTAGATCTAGTCGTCTGATTTACATTATTTCTTTAATATAAAAAAATTAGAAAAAAAGTGGGACACTTCTGTTAAACATGTAATCCTAACTTATTTTAAAAGCCCTGTTTAGGAAATTTGCATAGGCATTCCAACACTTCCATAAAATTTCAGCCGTAAATTAATTATTGTAATTGGAATATAATCTTAAGATTGCTAAATTTTATCAAACAGTTATCCATTTTACAAATAATTTTTAATTAATTAGGAAAATCAAAAAAGTTTAACGAAAAGAGCTGTAGAAAAATATACTCAAGTTCCTCGACTCGAATATTTTTAAAATTTAGACGGGCTGTATTAATATTTACTTAAAAATTTCATTTAAATAATTTTTGAATACAAAGCAAATAAAAGTATTCGAAACCGGGTTTTAAAAAGTGAAAAAAACCGGGTTATTCGATATTTGAAAAATCAACATTAAGAAAAAACCGACACTGGTAAAGCAGAAAAAACCGGTTTTAAAACCGGTTGAAAAATTGAATCGATCACCCTATATCGCATTTATAGCGTTATGTACTATTTTGGTTGAATGGATTGTATGAGGTTTAATTTTATAGTACAAATTTAATTGAATTTGCAAAAATTTTGGTACAAAATTGCACGTCTTATTACAATTTTCATTGAATATTTAACATTTATCACAATTTCTTCAAAAATTGAGGAGTGAGATCGAATAAACCAGTGCAAGAATAAAATTTGTAACTATTTGCTTCTGTTATATAAGTAACACTCTAATGGTATGTTTCCACTGGCTTAAAATCTGCTAGATTTGCGAAAACCTCTTCAAGGTGTTTCCACTGAGCTTACTCGTTTTTGATATTCGAATTTTCGAACACATTCTGTCACATTATTTTATGTGTCAAAAATGTATGGAAAATCCACATGATTTCAACTAGTTTTGCCCAAATCAACTAGATTTGCTCAAAACGCCTCAGTGGAAACATGGCATAAGGTTGATTACCCGGGTCCACAAAATTTTACAAAAGCCAAGATCCAGGATCTTGAGTATATTTTTTTAAAGGATTGCTTCGAATCCAATTCTGAAGTTAGATTTTCTAAACCTTAATTTTATGGAAACCATCATTGATCAATCCTTAAGAATAGAATAGAAATGTCCACTCTAGTCACTGGGTTAAAAATTTGTTGTTATCTATAGCCTAGTCTACAGTTTAGTCTTTAGTCTAGTCTATGGTATAGCCTAAGATCAAGTCTATAGTCTAGTCTATAGTCTAGTCAATAGTCTAGCCTATAGTCTAGTCTATAGTCTAGTCTATAGTCTAGTCATCAGTCTAGCCTACAGTCTAGTCTATAGTCTAGCCTACAGTCTAGTCTATAGTCTAGTCTATAGTCTAGCCTACAGTCTAGTCTATAGTCTAGTCTATAGTCTAGCCTACAGTCTAGTCTATAGTCTGGTCTATTGTCTAATCTATAGTCTAGTCTATAGCCTGGTCTATAGTCTAATCTATAGTCTAGTCTATAGTCTGGTCTATAGTCTAGTCTATAGTCTAGTCGATAGTCTAGTTTACAGCCTAGTCTATAGTCTAGTATATAGTCTAGTCTATAGTCTAGTCTATAGTCTAGTCTGTAGTCTAGTCTATAGTCTAGTCTATAGTCTAGTCTATAGTCTAGTCTATAGTCTGGTCTATAGTCTAGTCTATAGTCTAGTCTATAGTCTAGTCTATAGTCTAGTCTATAGTCTAGTCTATAGTCTAGTCTATAGTCTAGTCTATAGTCTAGTCTATAGTCTAGTCTATAGTCTAGTCTATAGTCTGGTCTATAGTCTAGTCTATAGTCTAGTCTATAGTCTAGTCTTAGTCTAGTCTATAGTCTAGTCTATAGTCTAGTCTATAGTCTAGTCTTATCTAGTCTATAGTCTATGGTCTAGTCTATAGTCTAGTCTATAGTCTAGTCTATAGTCTAGTCTATAGTCTAGTCTATAGTCTAGTCTATAGTCTAGTCTATAGTCTAGTCTATAGTCTAGTCTATAGTCTAGTCTATAGTCTAGTCTATAGTCTAGTCTAGTCTAGTCTATAGTCTAGTCTATAGTCTAGTCTATAGTCTAGTCTATAGTCTAGTCTATAGTCTAGTCTATAGTCTAGTCTATAGTCTAGTCTATAGTCTAGTCTATAGTCTAGTCTATAGTCTAGTCTATAGTCTAGTCTATAGTCTAGTCTATAGTCTAGTCTATAGTCTAGTCTATAGTCTAGTCTATAGTCTAGTCTATAGTCTAGTCTATAGTCTAGTCTATAGTCTAGTCTATCTAGTCTATAGTCTAGTCTATAGTCTAGTCTATAGTCTAGTCTATAGTCTAGTCTATAGTCTAGTCTATAGTCTAGTCTATAGTCTAGTCTATAGTCTAGTCTATAGTCTAGTCTATAGTCTAGTCTATAGTCTAGTCTATAGTCTAGTCTATAGTCTAGTCTATAGTCTAGTCTATAGTCTAGTCTATAGTCTAGTCTATAGTCTAGTCTATAGTCTAGTCTATAGTCTAGTCTATAGTCTAGTCTATAGTCTAGTCTAGTCTATAATCTAGTCTATAGTCTAGTCTATAGTCTAGTCTATAGTTTAGTCTATAGTCTGGTCTATAGTCTAGTCTATAGTCTAGTCTATAGTCTAGTCTATAGTCTAGTCTATAGTCTAGTCTATAGTCTAGTCTATAGTCTAGTCTATAGTCTAGTCTATAGTCTAGTCTATAGTCTAGTCTATAGTCTAGTCTATAGTCTAGTCTATAGTCTAGTCTATAGTCTAGTCTAGTCTATAGTCTAGTCTATAGTCTAGTCTATAGTCTAGTCTATAGTTTAGTCTGTAGTCTAGTCTATAGTCTAGTCTATAGTCTAGTCTATAGTTTAGTCTATAGTATAGTCTATAGTCTACTCTATAGTCTAGTCTATAGTCTAGTCTATAGTCTAGTCTATAGTCTAGTCTATAGTCTAGTCTATAGTCTAGTCTATAGTCTAGTCTATAGTCTAGTCTATAGTCTAGTCTATAGTCTAGTCTATAGTCTAGTCTATAGTCTAGTCCATAGTCTAGTCTAGTCCACAGTCTAGTCTATAGTATAGTCTATAGTCTAGTCTATAGTCTAGTCCATAGTCTAGTCTATAGTATAGTCCATAGTCTAGTCTATAGTCTAGTCTACAGTCTAGTCTATTGTCTACTATATAGTCTAGTTTATAGTCTGACGTGCGGAATTCGTCAATTTATGTTTTGAGCATATCACATAATATTCAAGCACCTTGTCTATTCTCAGTCCTTTCTTCAACTTTTTTTCCTAATTTCTTAAAATATCTGTTTAATACTTAACTGCATTGTTATAATTTGAGATGTTGTTAATTTGTAATAATAATGTGATAATACTTCTGTTTCTGTTTTTTCCATCTTTACCTATTTGTATTATCTCATCACGATTATTTGCCTTTGTATAATTAACATAACATTTGCACAAACATTTGATTTCTATATTTTGTGATTACGTTTTGCTTATTTAATGTTCACATTGCAGAAAAAGAAATAATCTGTTTTACAAATACGAACTGCTCTCTTACCACTGTCATTAAAATCGTAACAAATGTGTTTCGGTTAGCTCTCTCTAGTAGTTGTGTAGTCAGAGTCTGTTTAATATTTAAAACCACTAGTGTTACTCAAAACTTAATAGAGTGTTACAATTATTACACGAATAGTTTTTTTTTTGCGAAAACACACTCACACACTTTGTTTGATTATGCCGGCAAAATACAGAGGAGTTGGAAAATATAGCAGTTGCAAAATTGGGAAATGTAGTTGCTTAAATTATGACATTTGAATTGTTTCAGTCGATTTTGTGCTTATGACTTTCTAGATTTGTCTCCACTACAGGTCAAGATTAAAAAATTAATGATATAACTCCGATTTATTTTTGTTTTGAGTTTGTTTTAATTTAAAAGTATATTTCTTCGTTTAATTACAGGTAGTCTTATAACAAAATCCTGGCGCTCCTACATGGATGAATTAGATCAACAAGCTAAACAGTTTAAATCCAATGCCGAACAAATCGAAGTCGTATGTGAAAAATTAGCCCACTTGTCACAGGACAAGCGTAAGGCTAGAAAAACATACCAAGAAGAACATACAAAAATAGCAGCCAGATTAAATCATGTAAGTTTAACGTCTACTTTTAATAATAAATTTCAAAAGAAAGAAGCTTGACAAATTAGCTTTTTTATAAAATTAATTTATAAAAGTTTAATGCATAAATATCAAAGAATTAAATGGTTGAATGCACCTGTTTTACGTGTTTAAATATTTATAAAATTGCGATTTGTTCAACAATCAATAAATAAAGACAGACGGTTGGACGGACGGACACACGCGAAAAAGAAAATAAATAATCAATAAATAAATATTAACAATTTTGTATACGCCACACAGTGGTATAGGAAAAAAAAAAGAGGGAAATAATTCGGTAACTTCTAAACGGTTAATCCGATTTTAATGAAATTTGGTATGCACAAAGAGGAGGTGTTGTCGAGTTTAGGTTTTGAATTTGGACCTTATAGGCCAACCAGGGGCCCGGCGGGGGGTCCTCAAATTAGGACACCTCGGCTATGTTAAATTTTTAAAACGATCCTATTTCTTCATTTGAGTTCCGATTTAAAAAAAATTTCGTATATAGAATCTCCTCATCGAGCACTATAAAAAATGTCGTCGTAGCAGTAAATTATCTCTTATAGTTTAGGAGATATTCGCATTTGAATATTAAAATTTTAAAATTTTTACCGTCCTTACTTTAGTTTTTTTGATAATAGCAGGTCCAAATATTTCCGATTTTCGCCATTTTTTTTTATTTGCTTAACAACAAGTTTATATACCAAGCAGTGAAAGAATTATGTAAAAATCATGACTGAGTCCAAAGTTATAGGCATTTAAATTTAAAAAATTAAAAAAAGGCGATTTTTTGTCATTTTTTTGGGAAAAAAGTATCTTTTTCTTTTTAAGTTATCTAAAAAGTTTCTAAGAAGATGTATATAGAATTTATACTTTTTGGAAAGCTGACTTTACATAAAATACGATAAATGAAACAAAACCTAAAAATTTTTGATACCGAGGGGACCAGGTCCATCCAAAAAAACCCTATTTTTTATGGAAAATTAAATTTTGAGCAAAAATTCTCAAATCGCATAGTCGATATCAAATTATAGTGACCTGTTTTATATGACCCAATAAGTTCTTAATCATTTTGTAACGGGTTTCGATAACCCCGCCCCTGGTATGGATATAATAGGCAAAAAACCAAAAAATCCCATTTTTGGGATTTTTTAAAACTTTTTTGGGAATTCCGGGATTTCTAATAAGAAAATTCGAAATTTTTATTTAATTTTGGATTTTGAGTAAAAAAATCTACCTAACTGTAAAATTTCATCAAAAAATATTCATAAATAAATTCGCAAAAACTGAATAAAAAACATTTTTTAATTTTTTTTAAAAAAAGTATTCCGCGAATTTTTTAATTTTCAAAAATTATATACAGTTTTGAAAAATAGACAAAATTACCTTTCCATTGATATATAACATGCCTACCTAATGTTTTTTAAGTGACAAATTAATTAGGGAAAACTCAACATCTTTTAGAAAATTTACCTAGCACTATTATTTTCATCCATATATGTAACAAATTTAAGAGTTAACCTTATGGATGAAAATAATAGTGCTAGGCAAATTTTCTAAAAGATGTTGAGTTTTCCCTAATTAATTTGTCACTTAAAAAACATTAGGTAGGCATGTTATATATCAATGGAAAGGTAATTTTGTCTATTTTTCAAAACTGTATATAATTTTTGGAAATTAAAAAATTCGCGGAATACTTTTTTTAAAAAAAATTAAAAAATGTTTTTTATTCAGTTTTTGCGAAGATACAAATTTTTCAAATTGCAATAAAAATTTTATTTATGAATATTTTTTGATGAAATTTTACAGTTAGGTAGATTTTTTTACTCAAAATCCAAAATTAAATAAAAATTTCGAATTTTCTTATTAGAAATCCCGGAATTCCCAAAAAAGTTTTAAAAAATCCCAAAAATGGGATTTTTTGGTTTTTTGCCTATTATATCCATACCAGGGGCGGGGTTATCGAAACCCGTTACAAAATGATTAAGAACTTATTGGGTCATATAAAACAGGTCACTATAATTTGATATCGACTATGCGATTTGAGAATTTTTGCTCAAAATTTAATTTTCCATAAAAAATAGGGTTTTTTTGGATGGACCTGGTCCCCTCGGTATCAAAAATTTTTAGGTTTTGTTTCATTTATCGTATTTTATGTAAAGTCAGCTTTCCAAAAAGTATAAATTCTATATACATCTTCTTAGAAACTTTTTAGATAACTTAAAAAGAAAAAGATACTTTTTTCCCAAAAAAATGACAAAAAATCGCCTTTTTTTAATTTTTTAAATTTAAATGCCTATAACTTTGGACTCAGTCATGATTTTTACATAATTCTTTCACTGCTTGGTATATAAACTTGTTGTTAAGCAAATAAAAAAAAATGGCGAAAATCGGAAATATTTGGACCTGCTATTATCAAAAAAACTAAAGTAAGGACGGTAAAAATTTTAAAATTTTAATATTCAAATGCGAATATCTCCTAAACTATAAGAGATAATTTACTGCTACGACGACATTTTTTATAGTGCTCGATGAGGAGATTCTATATACGAAATTTTTTTTAAATCGGAACTCAAATGAAGAAATAGGATCGTTTTAAAAATTTAACATAGCCGAGGTGTCCTAATTTGATGACCCCCCGCCGGGCCCCTGGTTGGCCTATAAGGTCCAAATTCAAAACCTAAACTCGACAACACCTCCTCTTTGTGCACACCAAATTTCATTAAAATCGGATTAACCGTTTAGAAGTTACCGAATTATTTCCCTCTTTTTTTTTTCCTATACCACTGTGCGCCATTGATCCACAAATTGTCAAATGTTTTGTAAACAATTTTGTACATTGTATGTACATATGTACATAAATGACGACATTGTTAGTTGTGTATTTTTGTTGTTATTTTATTGTTATGTTTATTTTTTTTTTAATGTTTCTTGTTTATTGCATTATGCAGTTGTTTTTTTATTTTATTAACCGATTTTTAACTTTTTTGTGCTTTTCATTCATTGAATTTCTTTTTTCTTTTCATTATGAAACCACAAAAATGCACAAGACTTTTCTGCTACAACGCTATTACCGACGTTGAATTTTAAGATAATTTTTATGTTATTTTTTTTGTGAATTTTTGCAAAAGAAATGTTTGGAATATAAATATAATTTCATTGACATTTTTTTTATAAATTTGCCAAAGAAAAGCTTTAAATGGAAACATAACAATTAAGAGCGCTACTTTTGGTTATAAGGAATCTTAAATAGTGTTTAGCTTAGAATATTTAGAGTAATTCTTGATTATTAGAAAGGTCTTTTAAAAAGCTTTCATTTGATATGCATACTAACTGCTGAAAAGATTAAATAGAGTGGAAAGTATCCGATAAAATACACAAATGGCTCAGATTAACCTTCCTTTTACTAAAAAAATGTTAGCGGGAAAACCTTATGTAGTAATATATGATAGTCCGATGTCCGATGTTAGGATTTGACCTAGGTATTTTACTATATCTACGCCAAGTTTCAGCTTTCTAGCCAATCTGTGGACTTCAAAAAGATCTGGATAGAAAAAAGGGGAACAGACAGTGAATTTTGACACGCCCCTTTTTCCTCCCAACAGGCTAAAAATAAAAAATCCGGCTACGTTAGGATTTGACCTAGGTATTTTACTTAATTGCCAAGTTTCAGCAAGTTTCAGACAAAAAAGGTCCCAATTAAAGAAATTATATACATATATAGATAGGGATGTGGGATCGCAACTGAAAGGATGATGTCTAATATATCATATCCGAGAAAATACAAAAAGGCCGCTAACGGAACTGTTGTGCGATTTATATAGTAATTTATGATCACCCGATGTTCAGAAACTCAGTTTACTGGTCGTAGTTCTATCGAATTTTTCCAATCAGTGTTGTAGTGGAAAATAAAACTTTGCTTCCAAGATTTTTAAATCAAAATTCGATGAATGCCAGGCAACAATGAAAGGGTTTCAGAGCTTAACTATATTCTTCGCTTGCGCTACATTCTTTTGTTATTTATTCATTCAGAGTAGGTTTCTCTCTGGGTCACCTCATAGGATTTTAGGACTTTAGTCCATTTGTAGCGCTTATATTTTTAATTCAACCCTAGTTATGTCCAATGGTTTTGTATTTATCAGATTAACTTCTTCTAGCCCCTGTTCTGTTACGACTCTCTTTCATTCAGTAAAGTTTTAGATTTAAACTGATATCGCCTTTCGGTTGTAGGAAAATCCCTAGACCCATTTTATCCCCAGTTTGGAGAGATCTGTGCAAAAACTGATTCCCGCTGATGTTTTCTCTAATGTTCGTGTTAACCACGATCTCCTATCTGCAATCAATCTCCCACAGTTAGTTATAAATTCTGTTCTCGGTATGCAATTGAGTATGTCTGGGCTATGGTTCTCTTACAAAGCGCTCAACGTCGATATCGCCCTACTAACCTTTTGGCTGTCAGTTAATATGATATTCAATCCAATCAATTTTAAATTTTCCATGATAACGCGGACTTTGACTGTTATCTAGTGTTGTGGTTAGGTAGACTGAGGTGCAACTCGGTTTTGGGGGTTTTAATGAACATCCCAAGACCCATTTTGTCCCCAGTTTAGAGCTATACGTGTAGCAACTGATTCCCGTTGAGGTTTTCTCTATATGCGATCAGTGTCTCACAGTTCCCGATAATTTCTGTTCTCGATGTGCGTTTGGGTATGTATGGGCCACGGTTCTCTTACAAAGTGCTCAACGTTGATATCGCTTTAATTACATTTTGGCTGTCGGTTAACATGATATTCAATCCAATTAATTTTACATTTTCCGTGATAACACGGACTTCCGCGGTAAGCTTGTGTTGAGGTTAGGTAGACTGTAGTATATCTCAGCTTTGAGGGTTTCAATGAAGATCCCTAGACTTAAAACCAGATTCCCACTGAGGTTTTCTTTAATGTTCGGCTTAACCACGATCTCCTATCTGCGATATATGTCTCATTGTT